TTCTTTTTTATGTCACTCCCACGCTTACATGGTTGTGTGTGTGTGTGTGTGTGTGGGTTTTGGGAGGGACAAGACGGGGGTATAGAACGGGGTATTATACAGTTAGGACCTTTTTGTAGGAACCACGAACAGGTAATTTAATAGCTTACACGAGAGGTGTGCTAAACTATATTGTACGTGGTATGTGCTATTGTACCATGAGCTTTGGGTCTTTTCCTGGTAAAAACTTGTGATGCGTGAAATCCAGTGCAGTCTCTTGACCTGCTCATACTTTGCCTGATGTATAATATGAGACCAACAAGTTAGATATGGACTAAGTGATCACACACGGCGATAATAAAACTGTATTACTTGTGTAGCATTATACTAACTATAGGACATCGTGATAAGCAAAAAGATACCTACTCCACTTTTTTAAACTCTTTCCGTAAGGTCATTAATGTACAGAGTATTTTTACGTTTGCTAGAAGGTGTGTCTTGTCCGTGTGTTCTTGGTGACATTGCTGCAGAGGATCTTCTTTCCTCTTGGAATAGTCGCCAACTGTCTCTGACTTGACAATGACGCACTGCGAGTTAGAATACATCAGTTTGATTAGTATCTCCTGCTTGCGAATGATCATTAAAAACTGTCTCTTGCTGATAGCTACACGCAATAGGAATGCATCATTTCTGCTTGCAAGGAATATTACACTATAGTACCAGAGCTAGAGGGTGCCTACCGTACTCAGTGATCCTTGGCGCGCATTTTAATGTGGTGTAGGGGGGATTAGTGTCATGCACACACATTCAAATGGTGAAATCTAGTGTAAAGCCAGGGTGCTTTTACTTCACAAAAATTTGAAGGATTCACTTTTAGGAGGAGACATTGCACGGCACGCTGCATGTGGCACTATGGAATATTGGCGGTATTGCTATAATCTTTGAATAAACTATGCCGACCCTATAGTGGTGGTTTATAATTCCAAGCTGGGACCACTAACAGCCATGAAGAATACCTCTTCTGGGATCCATTGGAACTTCATTACGACGCCCGTTGCGAATCATTTGGGAGCTCGAAGCGTTAGTCAATTTCCACCTGACGTCCTTGTTGTCACAGTCTGTGCTCATAGGTCGCCCGGCCTGCATGAAGTTGAACCTTCTAATCAGACACCAGTGGGACTGAAAAAATGTTTCTTCACGCAAATTTTCACTTGCTTCTGAGATGGGCTAGTGCACATCAATATAACGGTGATCATTGGAGGTGAAAGTTTTATTTTTTCATAATCATCGCCAGCAAAAAGACTAGTACAGTTGTCCTGAATTCACACAAAATTATTAAGAAGAAACACCGAGCATAAAACTTAGTGGCAGTTTTGATGAAGTATGTAAGTTGTTGCGTTACAAGACTGGTGCGTGACTACACCCTTTTCCTACTCTGACTGAGTCATAAAAATATCCACGTGCATACTATACTATGAAGTTATATTTTTACGTTATGAATTAGACCAAAATATCGAACGTATGGATGCCGCACATCAACAAAAAGTGTGTGCTGTCTAACCCTGGATTCTAAAGTCCTCTCTCTTGGTCATCGTGGATTGACGCAGTGCACGCTGCTTGTTATGACCAACCACTGTGACCAGACCGCGTACCGTCTCGGTAGTATGGCGGGCCGGTACGCCTTGTGCGAACCAGAGAGGTCGAGCCTGTGGAGCTGAGCGTCCAAAGTACCAGACACGTCTTGCTGCGTGGGGAGCCGAGCCAGTGGCGTTCAAACCTCACTCAACTGAGAAACGGACATTGCAATAGTAGTGTTGCACAGAAGAGTTGGGGAAAAGCCGGATTATGATGTACCAGCTGTGTGGAGCCTCCTATACCGGCCCAGAACTGGGGGACGTATTTATATGTAGTATGGAGACATAGGATATCAATCAAATAGGTGTCCTTAGAATCCAGCAGCTGATATTAGTTGAATTGCAACTCCTTTGTAATTTAGGGGGACAGAAAAATTTGTCGAGGATAGGGATAGGTGCAACAGCAAGAAGACAGTCCATCCATACACCAAATGTAGCAAAGTATTAGGAAAGTTCTCTCCTCCCACTCTTGTGACTATAAAAAATGCAAAATGTTGACAACCCTTATTAGGGGATAACTTGCGAAATTGCGCAAGATAGATAAAATTACCGTTCCATACTAAAACACTAGTAAAAGTAATTAAAATAGATTTGTTGTCTCTTTGCCCACTCTTGTGCCTATAAGAAAATTAGAAGACTAAGGATGTAATGGGCTGGCCTTATAATACAGGTTACACAGTGAATTCAATCCTGTAGAGATTCACATATCACACACTCCCATGAGTTGATGTATAGTATCTAAAGCCTTTCCAATGTAACACGTTTTTCCTGCTACACCCATCTGTTCAGGCCGCAAACACCACTTTCTTTTTCAAACCTCACTACTGGTGGGTATAAAGCAAATTCAACAACTACTGCACTCGGTCACTCATTGACCAATCAGTAGAATGGGACTACAATATAAAAGGTTCCGGTGCGAGAGATCGATCCCGGGCGGAAGCTGGTAGGTGGTCCAGAGCACTGCTGGGAAACAGCTCTGTTCCTCACCTTACCCACACCTCTCTTTGACATACTGAGTGCCCCCGCTTCACTGGCATGTTGGCCAACTTGTCCATTGGAGTGGTTTTTACTTTTTTTCTTTCCTTTAGAAGTGCAAGTCATTTTTATTCATTATCCAAATTGCACAAGTGCATTAAAAACTCATTCTCGAAGTCGTCAAGTCACCATATGTAAATGTATGTTTGATGAACTCCAACTAAGACTGGATATTCACACACGTTTATGAACCTTTACTAAGTCTTCCTAATAGCAAACTTTCTAACCAATGCAAATCTTCTATGTCAATGCACCCCTATGCAGTGTTCTTTACATTAATATCTATAAAATTGAATCCTAAGTTACACCAGCATACCAGGTCACCAGTATAGCAGCCAGGTCCTCTGTGAGGCTCCCACCACAAGTCCGTTCTATTCCAAGTCAGGGGTGACGTGTGACTGGAAACATGAGTCTCTCCACTCCACTGCCAAACGCCACATCCTAACCACCTTGAACATAGAGAAACGAAATTACCAATTGAGTTAGAAGGGATAATATGTTGTAGCTCATGGTATATATAAATCGTGATGACATAAAGCAACACAACGTGGGTCGGGATACATTAAACTGGGCACCTTGTGGACATTGAAGTTACTTAGTATTACAGGGAAGAATCAGGGTTTCCTTGTGAGAGGTTGGTTCTCATTATGAGGCTCGGATATCATAGTATCCGCAGCTAGCGTACTACGTCTAAGGACCGAAAGAGCACTGCGTGTTGACCTGCGTTGGTTTCTTCCGAACTTCCTCCATAATCGTCTAACTGACTGCTGCGACGACGACACACATTAGCGCTCAACCAGCTACGACCCCTCTGTTTGCATGCACTGCGATCGGTCGCCTAAATACCGGGCGGGAATCCCGCCAGTCGCGTGCGACGCTAGAACAGCAGGAAAAACAAGAGCTTTCAGTTTCCACCCCTAGTCAGTACGTCGGCGGACTTTCCCGCGCCGCCACGCGCGATCTCTGGTAGATTAGAAAAGAAAATAGTGCAGGAAGATGGTCGGTTTGTGGAATGCCTACTCATAATCTTCGCCAGCCTGACAATTCTCGGCTTCTTGCTGACGTGAGTAGCTATGTCAAGTAGCTATGTACCTTCGAAAACTAGCTAGTTCCCAGGCCGAGTGTATAGTTACACACCGCTCTTTTCTTCACTGCCGACGCACCTGTGCGGGTATGTTGTTGTGGCAATACGCTAGCTATTGGGATGCTTTTTGTTTGTGCTGCATATTAGCTAGATAAACAACATTGTGTATTAGCTATGTTTAGTAATCGCATGTGTGTGGATATCATAACATGATTCTTTCGCACACAGGTATTGCATTTCAGTTGCACTCAATCACGTGACTCCCTACTGGCCCTAACATCAGTAGTTTGACTTTGGAACTACTATTGTTTGCTGTAGTTGTGTACATAGCGTCAGGGGCTCAAGTTTATGGGAAACACCATGTGTGGTTGTACATTCCCAATTGTTTTAAACGTGGTATATAGATTGTTGTTGCTCCAGACACATTAGGGTGCTTGCAAAAGTTTACTTTTCGAGTGCTTGTTGCATGCGCTATTGTTCGGGTCAACTGTTGGATCCACTAGTTTTACACCTGCACATTAGGATAATGCCTCTCTTTTTCCCTGTTCTCCCTTTACTGCCCTCTTTCTTTCCTGCTCTCTCGCTCTCTTCTTCCCTCTCTCCCTCTCTTCCTTTCCTCTCTCTCTTCTCTCTCTCCTCTCCTCCTTCTCTCTCCCTCTCTCTTCCTTCTCTCTCTCTCCTCTCTTCCTTCCTCGCTCTCTTCTCCTCTCCTTCCCTCTCTCTCTCTCTCTCTCTCCCTCTCTTCCTTCCCTCTCTCTCTCTCTCTTCTTCCCTCTCTCTCTCTCGCTCGCTTTTCCTGATACTGCGGAAACCACCTGAAAGCGTGTGGTTTTCTTTGCATCTGCACAACACTGCGTCCTTTGTCGTACGCTATCACATGTTCACATTACAGTGACCCCTCTGAATAAAGGACACCTCTCTATAAAGGGCACTTGGTTCTGCCCCATACTAATACATTTGTGTATATAACTGCATCCGAATAAAGGACGCTTTCAATGTCCCCAATGTGTTCCTTATTAAGATTTCAATATGCTATTTCAACCAAACCCTCGTCCTTTTGACCCTTTATCAGCCCTTTATTTGGCTGCTCTGTCATTATTTTACCTTCTCTTTTCTTTTCTTTTTACTTTCTTCTCACTCCCTCCCTCCCTCACTCCTCCCTCCCTCCCTCTCCACACAGAACTCCTAATAGTATACTTGCGCTACAAGTCGGTCCATACATTCTACGCCACGCAAGTCTCCACGTTTTGTCTGCCGTTGAAAGTCTTCAATTTCATTGGTTTAATCGTCGGACTGGCATCTTCATTCGGGTTTCTGCTTGTGGCAAACTTTCAGGTAAACAGTCTTTACCAGCAATAAGTGAAGCGAGTGCACCGGCCTGTAGTTGTCTGAATTGTGCTGGTTTTGCTGAGCGTGTATTTGTAGTGCTGTCTGTACCGTAATGAAATGAAATGAATCTGGATAAAGGACACCTCTGAATATATGGCTTCAATGTCCCCAAGGTTTTCCCTTATTCAGAGGATTTGCACTGTACAGTAATTTGTTTAGAATAGGCCAGTAAAAGAAGTGCCCCTTATTGGCGAGCGAATCGAGCCCACCTAGTCGTCTAAAGGCAAGCGGTTTCACTAAGTTTTCACCTATCCTGCCACTGCACATACCGTAATGTTGTACATGATTTTGACACACGAAAAGTTGAACTTCGTTCAAAAATACAAAATTGAACTGCTCGCATTCGCCCACCAAACTTCCAAATATGTGGGGGAAATTGAACTGCTCCCGTTAGCTCGCCAAAAATGCCATTCTGGTTTTATCACACAACAGGATGACTATGTGCCGGCGGTTCATCTCCTCGGAGCGTTTGTAGTGTTCTCAGCCGGACTGGTCTACCAGTGGGTCCACACTTACATCACGTACCGAGTTTACCGCTCCGGAGTGGCCAGGCATGTCGGGGTCGGCTGGGTCGTTGCCCAGGCGATTATCAGTCTTCTATCACTCGTCTTCTTTGTTGGAGGTATATACATCACTAAGTACGGTAGTACATATACGTAGGGATGACACAGGTTATCTGAGATTTTCACTATAAGACTTACTACCTTATCCACTGTGTGTATGTGTACAGAAACTCCCTTGTTGTTTCGTGAAATGAAAAATGTATTTACCGTGTTGTTACGTGAAATGAAAAATGGATTTACCGTGTTGTTACGTGAAATGAAAAATGGATTTACCGTGTTGTTTCGTGAAATGAAAAATGGATTTACCGTGTTGTTACGTGAAATGAAAAATGGATTTACCGTGTTGTTACGTGAAATGAAAAATGGATTTACCGTGTTGTTACGTGAAATGAAAAATGGATTTACCGTGTTGTTACGTGAAATGAAAAATGGATTTACCGTGTTGTTTCGTGAAATGAAAAATGTATTTCCCTTGTTGTTTCGTGAAATGAAAAATGTATTTCCCTTGTTGTTACGTGAAATGAAAAATGGATTTACCGTGTTGTTACGTGAAATGAAAAATGAATTTACCGTGTTGTTACGTGAAATGAAAAATGGATTTACCGTGTTGTTACGTGAAATGAAAAATGGATTTACCGTGTTGTTTCGTGAAATGAAAAATGTATTTCCCTTGTTGTTACGTGAAATGAAAAATGCATTTCCCTTGTTGTTACGTGAAATGAAAAATGTATTTCCCTTGTTGTTACGTGAAATGAAAAATGCATTTCCCTTGTTGTTACGTGAAATGAAAAATGGATTTACCGTGTTGTTTCGTGAAATGAAAAATGCATTTCCCTTGTTGTTTCGTGAAATGAAAAATGTATTTCCCTTGTTGTTACGTGAAATGAAAAATGTATTTCCCTTGTGTTAGTGAAATGAAAAAGCATTCCCTTGTTGTTACGTGAAATGATGGATTTACCGTGTTGTTTCGTGAAATGAAAAATGTATTTCCCTTGTTGTTTCGTGAAATGAAAAATGTATTTCCCTTGTTGTTCGTGAAATGAAAAATGTATTTCCCTTGTTGTTACGTGAAATGAAAAATGCATTTCCCTTGTTGTTACGTGAAATGAAAAATGTATTTCCCTTGTTGTTACGTGAAATGAAAAATGCATTTCCCTTGTTGTTACGTGAAATGAAAAATGTATTTACCGTGTTGTTACGTGAAAGTTAGGCATTTGTATTTCCCTCGTTGCCGTGTGAAATTAAAACTATCAGTGTGTGGGTGTTATAGGTGAGTACATGTGGTAGCAAGGCAATGGAAAAGCAAACAGTGATAATACATTCGAGATGATGATTTTCCCCCGAGGTGGAAATCGAACCCACGACACTCTGTAGTCTAAGGCAGAATGCTCCACCCACTGTGAGGTCTACTGGGGCAGCTCAGCAGACATAATGGTGTTCAAATCTGCAACACAAGACGAAAGCAAACTTGAACTAACTGTGCTCTGCACGCAGTAGTATGTAGTATGTATATTCAGCAGTATTGTATCGTCCATCTTGTCTGCAAAACATGTTCCACAGACCAATCATACCCTTACCTCGTGCAACTTTTTTTCCTCCTCCCCCCACTTCTTCCCATCCCATCACTCTCAGCTACTCTGTTTGCGGGTCTGGCTGGTCGTAGTCGTCGTCGTCATATCGGCCACGGAACATTTCATTGGTCGACTCGTGATGGGGTTAGTTTATATAGGAGCTAATTGTATTGCAAGGTGTGTGCCGTTTTTCATTTGGTTACCACATTCAGAATTATGGAAAATCAGGAAATTTTACTTATTCGACCCACACACAGTCTCTATACATGCCATATCACTAAGTACGGTAGTACTTAGTATATAGGGATTGACATGTATATAATACACACACACAGTCTCTATACATGCCATATATATAATACACACACACATACACACACACCCTCCCAGCCGGTGCATATTTGCACAATAGTTATGACATCATAAGTTCAGTCAATTTATTGTTTCGCGTCTGATTCTCACTGAACTCTCTTTCTTCATTTTTTTGTCAGGGTTTCGCATATCACGTCCTCAGCTCAGCGTGTGAATGGGCAATGAGTACGACATTTCTGGTATACTTCCTCACCTTTCACCCCGATTTCAAACAAATGAAGATCGACATTGTCGTTCGTCGCAGATCATCGGGAAGTCACCACGGCTACGACAGTATCGTCAATAGCGAAAACACGCCTCTTACTCATTGACTATGTTTCAAGTGTATGTGTGCATTTTGATGCTGGATTTTTCACTGTATATATATACAAGTGGAAAAATCATTTCTTCAAAATGAAAGGGGGATATAGGGATGGCTTGAAGCACCAAAAAGGAAGAAACAAGGGGTCATTACACAGCAAAGTTGCACAAAGCTACATGACACCATCCCTATATCTTTGTTTGATATTGTTTGATATTAAACTTTGCTTATAAACAATAAAACAAAGATATAGGGATGGTGTCATGTAGCTTTGTGCAACTTTGCTGTGTAATGACCCCTTGTTTCTTCCTTTTTGGTGCTTCAAGCCATCCCTATATCCCCCTTTCATTTTGAAGAAATGATTTTTCCACTTGTTTCCACTATTTTTAACAGCTTCTGGCAACACTGCATTTATTGTTACAGTCACTCTGATGTTCATGGCTATGTTGTAGATAGGCTACCATAGACAAATTGAAAGTAGTAGCTAATGGGCTGCTAGATACCATGTATTGTCTTCAACAAGGATGTAATTAGATTATTGCACATGGTTGTGGTTTCATTGGCAGGCTTTGGTAATCAGGCTACAACCTGGGGGGGACAAACAATGAAGGCCCATTTGACTGAGTGCCCCGCAAGGCTCGCGTAACACCGCGCAGACTCTGGCAAGTTGCTCTTCGTGCATATCAACAGCAAGATAGCCAGTTGGAAATGTGCACACTTACTTACAGAAGGTACTGGAGGCTGACAGTTCCTCTGCAGGTCTGCCAACTCGCCCGGTAGAATACGTTCGCAAGCACATTGGACAACGCCCCTGCCTGGCGCATGCGCGCGGATCACTGATGCTGAGTAAGCAGCAAATGGCGTTGTTCAGGTCGACCAGCGAAGAGCTCCATGATCCACCGTAGTGACTAGCGGCAAGAAAGAAACGATCGCTTGATGTCCGTGCACACCTCCGGCGAAATTGGAGACCTTCAGTGAAAAAATCAGTGCTTGAACTGGTACTGGTAAGGAGATAGCGGGTTTAAACCCCTCCACGCTCCATATAAAGTCCCACTCATACATACTCGGGCTTCATGCAATAGCTACACACACATTTTTGTTTTCTTACCTAAGAATGTTTCAAATATGAAATCAGCCGAGAGAGGATTAGCTTGTAGCCAAAAACAGCCCTTGAAAATTGTTTGCTGGAACCAGAAACACAGTTACACCCCAAAACCCACAGAAGACAATATTCATGGATTTGGTCCACATGTGGGAGGCACGCACTATCAATGAATACTGTCCTTACAATCATGCCACTCTGTCAGGTGAGGTTGTCACATTCAACATTCCTAATCCATTGGTGCATGCAGCTATATGTATGTAAAGTACTATAGCTGCAAGTGGAAAGGGCTCAAGTGCACTAATGTATCATTTGTATGCAAGTATGCCACTCTGCACCAATGTTGCACGACGAAAGTGCAGTCACCAAAGAATGGTGTTTTCATTTAGTTACGCAACCATGTGCGCACAGGGGGGCGGGGTCTGTCCGAACCCAATGGACTCTAGATCCACCGCTGACGTTGAGAGGTACGCTTGCGCTTGCCGATTACAGCAGTTTGCAATATATTATAGTAACCTTGTGTAAAAATACTAAACGATTTACATAGATACAGTAGAGGAAAAAACAAAAACAAGACTGCAGTAGAGCTTCAACAAAACTAGGTATGACTTACAAAAAAAAGCAAGTGCATGATGTGGTGATATTATTACACAGACACAGGCAGTGTAAAGGTATAAATGGATAACAGATAATCTGAGATACATAAAATAAACCATACCAATTGGAAAAATTACGTTAATTCTAATGTGAGTGTTTGCGTTCCTATGGTAGCTTCTTTGTATTAGCATTGTGTTGTGTGAGAGGCGTTTAACTTGAATATTTGAACTCGATTGTTGTCGGTGTCACTGACGTAGATGTAGCCGTCATATCTGGCAGCTATGGCATATGGCTTGTTGAACTCTCCTTCTTTGTCCCCTTTCTTCCCAAATGACTTGATGTACTTGCCATTCTCATCAAATACTGATACTCTGGCATAGCTGAATTCAACGACATACACCCAGTCATCAGGTCCAACTGCCACACTGATTGGTCGTCCTAGTCTCTCTCCTGCTCCGGTGTTGGTGATGGATGACAGATGATGTCCATTGGAATCAAAAATCTGAACTCTGTTATTGCTAGAGTCAGCTACTAATACATTTCCATTTCTACAGACAGATATTCCCTCAGGCATGTTGAATTGATCTGCCTCACTTCCCACACTTCCAAAGCTGCCATGGAATGTCAAGTCATGGTTGAGGATTGTGATGCGATGGTTGTAAGTGTCACAGACATACACTCTGTTGTTGGTGTGGTTGTAGGCTATGGCAAATGGTGCGTCGAACTGCAGTTGTCCACTTCCCTCTGAACCCACTGATGCTATGAACCGACCCTCAAGAGTGAATTTCTTCACACAGTGGTTGGCAGCCACAAACATTGTGTTATCGGAAGAGATGGCTACTCCTAGTGGTGCGTTAAGTCTGCTTTCTTCTGGTCCTGTGTGTCCAAATGATCGCAGCTCTCTGTGATTGCCGTCAAACACCTTCATACAATTAGAATTCCACTCACAAACAACCATTTCACCAGTTTTGGCAAACGCAATGTGACGTGGCATCTTGATCCCACCAATGGTCTTGACATGCTGGAACCTCTGAACAAACTTCACCTCTCCTAGTTTTCGACATGCTGCGCTCAAGTCTGCACACAAAACTCTAATCTCCTTCTCTGGACCCAACACCAGTTGCTGAGGTTTGAACTCGTCTGCCATCTCCCGTGCCCTCTCCTCCACTTGTCTCTTCATCGACAGCACCTCCTCTTGTGTGCCACTCTGCAGACTCCCCTCCACAAACTCCACACAGCTGCTCAGCTGGGCCTGCCTCATCTCGTGTCCGTCGATCCGGGCCGCCAGCTCCTTCTTCCCCTGACACACCTGACCATCGATCTGGGAGTGAAGCTCCCTTCTGCGAGCATCTAGGATTGCCTGGAGCTTGTCTACTTCAGCATTCACCTGTGCCTTTGCCTCTATACCCTGTCCGTCTAGCCTGCTAGATCTTGCCTTCAGCTGTACAATGGTGCTCCCTACACTAGCAAGTTCGGATTTGACAGGACGTAGGCAAACAAGGATGGTATCTCTGTGCTTCGGGAAGGCATCGGGGATGAGGTCGTAGTTGTGGTCGCGATGGGTCTGCGGTGCAGTCATACATATCAACTCTGTCACACGTCTCGCAGTAGATCTTGATCGCTTCGGTTGCGTGTTTTCGAACACGTGGAGCTCACCTTTTGGGTGTCACCATATTCGACGCCGTTTCTTGCACCTCATCGAGGCTAGCGATTTCGTGCTCCTGAAATTCCTTCCACTTGCCGTGCATGGTAAGACAGAGCTGGCAAATGAACTGGCCGCAGTCCCGACAGAAACCCTTCACCTCTCCCTCCCCACATTTATCGCACTGCGCCTTCTCCGGGTCCCGCACTTTCTCCAGGACCTCTCTCACCTCGAAAAGGTGATTGATGTAGAAGGCAGCGGGCAGGCTGGACACGCCCCCTTCAGGGAGAGGGGCCGGCTTGCGGCAGTTGGGGCACGGGGCGCTCAGTTTGTCTCTCCGTGTCCCGACCAGTTTCTCCAGACAGGCCTCGCAGAAGACGTGGAGACAGGGCAGCACTCTGGGTCTCCGGTACTCCTCCAGACACACCGAACATGACAGCTGGTTCGATAGCTTCTCCAGCGCTTGCTGTGCCGGATTTTGGGGCTTTTTCGACGTGGTGTGCGATTTTGTGCGTTTTTCAGCCATTGCTGCAGAGTACACAAAGGATAGATTATGTATGTTGGCCCTGATGCATTGTTCATCATTGGGTCTGTTACAAGGTTGAAACTAGAAGGCTCTATGGCAGTTTTGTGGATTAAGCTCCCAGCATGCTACTGTAACTGAGCACAATTTAAACCCCTCCACTCTCCATGAACTCCCACCCATACTCTTATAGCTAAATAGCTACACACATTTTTGTTTCCTTACCTAAGAATCTTTCAAATATGAGATCAGCAGAGAGCGGATTAGCTTGTAGCCCAAAACAGCCCTTGAAAAGTGTTTGCCGGAACCAGAAACACAGTTACACCCCAAAACCCACGGAAGACAATATTCATGGGTTGGGTCCACATAGTGGGAGGCACACACTATCAATGAATACTGTCCTTACAATCACGCGACTCTGTCAGGAGAGGTTGTGTGCATATTGGTGTTCTAATACATTAAGGGTATATACCACTGTGCCTTTTCGACGTCCCCGAAACTAAATTAGTTTACTGTAAAAACGACATCACCAGCACCATGATAAACAGAACTACAGTACATACATTACTCTCAGTGATCACTTTAATACAACAGCAAGCTATACACATAATGCTCTAGACACTGAGAGGAAAACAAGCTACAGGGCAGTTGCAAGAGTTCCATCTCTAGTCACTGTCAGAGTCGCTGTCAGGCAACTTCTTCTTGTGCCGTTCAATCTTTCTCTTGTGTCTTCGAATCTGCTCCTCCAGGTCTTCTATTGACTCCTGTGAAGGAGGGGGCGTGGCTTTGCATAATTAAGTAACTGTGTCAAGAACACCCCTGAAAGGATACCTCTCTAATAAGGACACCTTTTATTTCCCCAAGAACAGTTCTTGCATGCAATTCAACCCCTGAAATAAGGACACCTCACTAATATGGACTGTCCCATTGGTGTCTGGATTAGAGGAGTTTCACTGCAACATTCCATACAGTTACACATTGGTATGCAGACCAACTCACTTTCCCTTCATCTGTATAATGTATAATGACCCACCTACCACAACTTTCAGCGAGTTCAGGTTTGTCCTTAGGTAAATGCTAGTGGTTCATGATCGACGCATCCATTAAAATGTACTGGTGGGTTACACAGGTGTTTTTCGATGCCTACAACAAGAAGTTTGGCTCTGACGGATCCCACGAGGCACTGGACTGGAAGGAATGCACTGAGAGAGTTGAAGAGTTCAAAAGACAGTTCATACATCAGAATATCATTGACACTGACATCGATGAAATGTCGTATCCTTTTTTACACTGCTGACTACTTGGTAGAGCCCTCTCTAGAACACAGAGTGCTCTGCCTTGCTCTGTATTAGTGATTATTCAGCCCAGCCAGCTGAGCTGCCACAGTAGCTCAGTTGGTAGAGCCCTCTCTAGAACACAGAGTGCTCTGCCTTGCTCTGTATTAGTGATTATTCAGCCCAGCCAGCTGAGCTGCCTCAGTAGCTCATTTTGTAGAGCCCTCTCTAGAACACAGAGTGCTCTGCCTTGCTCAGTATTAGTGATTATTCAGCCCAGCCAGCTGAGCTGCCTCAGTAGCTCAGTTGGTAGAGCCCTCTCTAGAACACAGAGTGCTCTGCCTTGCTCTGTATTAGTGATTATTCAACCCAGCCAGCTGAGCTGCCACAGTAGCTCAGTTGGTAGAGCCCTCTCTAGAACACAGAGATCTCCTTAACACAAATAAAAACCTAGAATGATGCAGTGGCTTGGATCTCTTCAGATTCATGATTTCTACAGCACAAAGCAGAGACTGTTAAGTGCACAACGTTCAGAAGAAGAACTGCTAATTAAAGGGGCTGAACCCCCAGTAGGGAAAGAGAAAACTGGGACAAAAGAAGACACAAAGGTTTCTGAAGAATCTAGTAATGATGTATGACATATCGAATATTAATCACGTAAATTGTATCGAATATTAAATCACAATTATAAAAAATTATGCCTAAGTTGTAACTAGATGTTTTAATCAGAGAAATAGAGTCTGAAATATGCCTCTGTATGAGTGATTCAGCCCAGCCAGCTGAGCTGCCTCAGTAGTTCAGTTGGTAGAGCCCTCTCTAGAACACAGAGATCTCCTTAACACAAATAACCTAGAATGATGCAGTGGCTTGGATCTCTTCAGATTCACGATTTCTACAGCACAAAGCAGAGACTGTTGAGTGCACAACGTTCAGAAGAAGAACTGCTAATTAAAGGGGCTGAACCCCCAGTAGGGTCGAATATTAAATCACATAATTATTGCCTTTGTTGTAATTAGATATTTTATAATCTACGAAAGAAATGTGAAAACAGCAAATCTCTTGTAGTGTATGTATGTTTCTCCATAGGAACTGTATTTGAGTCTTTTTGTACCATAGGAAATACGAGGAAGACAGAAGACACATTATATCATTCACAGTCAGTCAGATTTTACAGCAACTGTATCAGTGCAGTTTCTTCTTTTGTTCAGTGTGATGCTCCCTTTCTTGCAAGTCGCTCGTCTCAGCCGCAAATATTGAATTCAACGACACAAGAAAAGAGAGAGGGAGAGAGAGAGGGAGAAAATGGGAAGGAATTGCAAACTAGCAAAAAGACTAAAACTGAGAGCAGCGAAGTAGGAAATGATGCTGCAAAGTGTGGTGATGAACAGAACGTAAAGATGGAAGACGGAAATGCTGTTGAAAAGAGTGACGGTGGTGCTGACTGTGGACACATATGGAAAGAAGAGAGCAAACAATCTACAAAGAAAGTCGAATTCATGACTTTGAAAGTACGTAAAGCCCTTTAGCCATACGTAGCTGTTTTGCCTTGTTGCGAGAATATTTTTCGTTTGAGCGTTTGCGGGACCAACTGCAACATTTTCTGCACAGAAGATCGCAATTGGGGTTCATTTTGCAAGTTTCCTCTGTAAAAATCCTTTAAAACATGCAAAATTAACTTCAAACTGAGGGAAGCACGAAAACACACGTTTTTTCTGCATAATTTCACTCACCTTCTCAACACTATCTTTTAGAAAACTTTGTTCTTTTGTTGCTAACAGGTCAAAGGTCAGAGCTTCATGATTCACCAGATTCGGAAGATGGTGGGTCTCGTTATCGCCATAGTGAGAGGGTTTGCCCCTGAGACGACGCTCATTGAGGCTTTTCAAAAGGGGAAGGTTGATATTCCGAGAGCAACCTGCATTGGGACTACTTCGGAGATGTGAGCCTTTCATACCAACTTGTTCACTGTCAAAGTACTGGTCGATGATAATATACTAGTTTAGCTACTAGTACTAGCAGATCATGACAGAGAAGCTCATGACAGAGATTTGAGGTCGGATTAAGAAGATTATGAAGGAAGGTTCAGTGGGGCATGCAATATTTTGACACGTGAATACACATTGCAATAAATGAAAGCACTAAAGTGCAAACCCTTGGCGAACTGTGCATGTGCGGTACCGCTAATGGCTGGGCTGGGCTGGGCTATTGACGTTTACTCGTGGTCTCCCGCTAGTAGCTTGCGGAGAGTCTGACACACGGTTCTGCTATAGCTATTATTGCACTACTGCCAATTGCGGGGTGTACTAATTGTATGCAAGTGTTTTGCTCTGCCCTAAATGTACACAATGAAAGTGAAGTGACCAAGGAATGGAAGAGAGTGTTCTCGCGTAATTGCGCAACCGCAAGTGGGGGTAGCTATGTCTGATTCGCCACTGAAATTAGCTTGCCAACTGTAGCAGTTTCCAATATATATTTATACTTATGTATAATTGTACATCTCACGATTTACCAAGATAAAGTAGAGAATAAAACAAATAATAAAGACTGCAATAGGGACTACAAAACGTTCGTGTGGTGGTGCATGATGCAGCGATATTACAGTGACAAAGGTCGTATAAGGTATGAGAATAGCCAAGGTTATCAGTAAAAATAGGGATAAGTTACTCTAATGTGACTATTTAGAGGGTAGCTTCTTCGTTGCATGATAAGCATTTCACTGGAATATTTGAACTCGATTGTTGTTGGTGTCACTGACGTAGATGTAGCCGTCATCTCTGGCAGCTATGGCATGTGGGTTTTTGAACTCTCCGTCTTGTCCCCTTTCTTCCAAATGACTTGATGTACTTGCCATTCTCATCAAA